GTTTGTTATCTGGGCCGCTCTTATGCAATGCCTATTTCCTCATATGAAGGTCTGTGTGTCTAAATCTGCTGTGAGTTCTATCAGGATGTTTCAACCCTGCCTCATTCCAGATTCCTATACTGTGCAGATATGTGGCTGATGCACAAGAAAAGTTTGCTATTGTGCTGAAGTATTGGTGGGTCAAAGTTTGTGGGATGTTCCAAAGAACTCCAAGAAATCCAACATGGGTGAGAGTGGTGTCCAAAAGTCTTTTAGAGGCTCTAGATAAAGCTCAGTTGGTAGAGTGCTTGCCTAGCATGCACAAGGCCCTGGGTTCAATCCCCAGCACCATACACACACACACACAAAAAAAAAAAAAAAAAAAAAAGGACTGGGGATGTATCTCAGGGGTAAAACCCCTGGGAAGAAAAAAAAAAAAGAGTTTCCTGTAAGTGGTACAATAAGACCCAAAGACCTAACTGAGGAAAGCAGGAGAAGCTATAGTCAGATTATCCAAGTTCAAATTCCAGCTTCCTCACTTAAGAGGTGGTAACTTCAAGCAAATCCCTTAATTTCCTAAGTCTCAGTGTCATTTATAAAATGGAAATTTGGGGCTTATCTCAAGGCACATAAAGCCATGTGGTAGTGCCAAGAATCAACAGTTATGGGGGCTGGGGTTGTGGCTCAGTGGTAGAGCGCTCGCCTAGCATGCATGAGGCACTGGGTTTGATCCTCATAAATGTAAAATAAAGATATTGTGTCCACCTAAAACTAAAAAATAAATATTTAAAAAAGAGATTAAGGGCTGGGGATGTGGCTCAAGCGGTAGCGCGCTCGCCTGGCATGCGTGCGGCCCGGGTTCGATACTCAGCACCACATACCAACAAAGATGTTGTGTCCGCCGAGAACTAAAAATAAATAAATAAATAAATAAAATATTTAAAAAAAAAATAAAAAAATAAAAAAGAGATTAAAAAAAAAAAAAAAAAAGAACTAGCAGTTATGTTTCGAACACTTAAGTCTCCCAGACACCTCAGGTCCTCATTTAACCCTCCCAACTACCTTACTAAGCATTACCATTTTATAAATGAGAAAAGAGGGAAGCTCAGGGCAGTGACTTGCTCATCAAACACAGCTGGTAAGCAGCAGGACTGAATCACGCCCCAGTCACTAAGCACTAACCAGCTGTGTGCAGGGCACAGTGTAGAAGAGTTGCAGGGCAGGAAAGGTCCTGCAAGGGATTGACAGGCAGAGCGGGGGCTGCCCCCAAGCTTTCCTTGGAAAGGCAGACAGGAAGTAGGAAGGGGCTCAGCAAAGGCTATTTGCCCCAGGGAAGTCGGGGCTGAGGGGCGGAGGAGGGGACCACCTCATGAGGTCAAATATAATCCTTGCCAGCTCAAACCAAGCCATCTTTACAACTACTAAATAAATCACTATACAGCCCCCCCAACTTTTTTTTTGGCACTGGGGACTGAACCCAGGGGTGCTTTCCCACTGAGTTACATCCCCAGCCTTCTTTATTTTCTAAGACAGAGTCTTGCTAACTTGCTAAGGCTGGCCTCAAACTTGCTATTCTCCAGCTTCAGCCTCCCAAGTCTTTGGGATTTCAGGTGAGCAACTGTGTCCAACTAAAACTGTTTTCCTTCCCCCAGGCTACAGCTCCAAGGAGTTAGTCTTAAAAGGAGAAAATAGGCAGGCTTTGCTATTCTTCACCCAAAAAAATTGAGGAAAACCTATCTTCTGCTGAGCACAGTGGTGTGGCACACACGGTACATGTCTGTAATCCCAGTGACTCAGGAGGCTGAGGTGGGAAGATTCTAAGCTCAAAGCCAGCAATTTAGGGAAGCCCTAAACAACTTAGTGAGAATCTAGTGAAAATAAAAACGGATGGGAATGTATCTCAGTGGTAAAGCACCCCTGGATTCAATCCCTAGCATCAAAAAAGAAAAAATGAAAACCCATCTCCCTCTAGACCAAGTATTTCTTTGCCCTCCGGTCCAGAAAATGTTTCTGGAATATGTTTTCCACAAAAGGAGTAAGAGCCCACCTGGCAGCTCCTAAAAACCTGGACTCAATTTTTTGATTGTGCAGAACATTAACCCAGGAGCACTCAAGGGCTGCAACTCTACAAGGATACAATGGTGAGCCCCAGCCATTTACCTAGGTCCCCCTAATTACTCTAAGTGCATTCTTCATTAATAAGGGTATGCCCTATAGGCTTTTATTTCCCTCCCCCATCTTCCAACAAAAAGCCAAACCATGCTCCAAAACAAAAATCAAATTTATTCAGCAGACATTTTAATTAAGAAATCCTATAAATCAGGACCACCACAAGTTCAGACACTCCGTTGCGAAGTGTACAGTCAATAGCTACATCTGGAGGATGAACAAGCCATTGAATCTTTAAAAAACTGGTTTAGCTACCTTAAAGTTTGGGGGTGGCACCTTACTAAAGCGCCATCAAGTTTCACAAGGGTAAAGCCAGCAGTTTCTCCTAGAGGAGAGTCACATTTTTAAAAGTTTCAGTCACTCACAAAGAAGAGCTGGCAGGCAGGAGGAAAATAACTGTGCATGAGGAACCACAGAGGCTCAGGCCCACCACTCCAGAGGGCCAGAACAGAGCAGAAAGGCGTCCAGGGCCTTCATCCAACCCCACAGAAAGGGCAGAGTAAGAAAGGTCGGCTGGGAGGACATGAGATTGTTTATGACAGTTTCTGAGAAAGCTAATGACATGGCCAAGAGTAGCCTTGCAAGAGGAGGAGTTCTGGAAAGAGGAAAGCACAGAAAAAGCAACTAACTCTTCTCACACGTCCCTCCCTGCCTGTGTGTCCTCGGGAGACTCCAAGCGGTGGCAAAGCACAAGACAGAGCTCTTCTTGGAGAGAAAAAGACACCAAGGGTGAGTTAGCTCTTGTAGGAACCCCACTGCCTTAGAGCATAAACGTGACCTTCAACCACGGGTGGCAAGGTCAAGTCATTTAAAAGTCCACAATCAAATTTAACTCTCCCAACTTCGAAATTATGCCCCTCCCTCCCATTCCGTAAGTGGAGTCTCCCACCTCCTCCAGCCACGGATTAAGTGGCTTAAGAAAGGAGGCGATGCCAACCCACCCAATGCCAAGATTTTATATTCTTCAACCCAGAATTTCTCTGCACAGCAATTATAGCACCATTTTCAGTAAGCTCCTCCACCGGAAAATAACGAGAAAATGTATCCGTATCACTAGTTTTCAAGTATTGTTAGAAAGCTCTCGCGATTCCCGCCCCTTTCCAGCCCTATCTTTAAAACAATCCAAGCACACGATGCCCACAAGGGCTAGGTCAGGTACAAGTGGATGCAAGTAGCTGCCATAGGTCCCCCAGTTTATCCCAGGTCCTTGGCCCGGGGTGACCGGGGAAATTCTCACGCGACACGGACGTGCCTTGGTCCGTGCATTTCACCATACTTTAAGTTCTCGGACAGTACTGCCCGGGCCGGTTCCACTTCTGGGTTTAAGATCTTTCCAAGCGCCTGAGTGCAGCCTAAGCTGTCGCTCCCAGGAGTAGAGGCCGAGGCTTCAGATCAGGGTTGATGGGAGGAGGACGCAGAGTAGTACGCAGCGGCGTCCTCTTCCTTCTCCAGGGGGCCAGGGTCAGAGCAAGGCGCTCGAGGTCTGCAGGGCGACGGGGTCCGGTCCGCTGCGTCCGCCACCGGGCCCAGAGGCACCCGTGGGGCTGGTGGCCGCAACCGCGGCGACGGCTCGCTGGAGCCTCCTCACTGCTTCCTTAATGAGGTTTCCCGACAGCACGAGCTGTTGCAGGAGGCGGTGGGGGTCGTCATCGCCCGCGCGTGCTCCGGCCTGGGTCCACCGTCGCTGTTGAATGCGCCGGGAGGCGCCGGCGCCACGGAGCCATCCTCGCCTGCACGGCCCGGGTAGTGCGCTGGGGCCTGAGGCGAGCTCCGCCACGCAATAGGGCGCAGCGCGACCCCGCACGCGACCGCGGTCCCCGAGGGCACAGCGTAGGGCTCCCGGGGGCGCGGGCCCCCCAGCTTCGGCCGACGCGGGTCGCAGCAGCAGAGGAACGGCCGGGGACCGGGCCTTGTCCGCCGGCAGCGCCGCCGGGGGCTGTAGCGGCGGCCCTGAGGACACGCACGGGGAGGCCGGACTGTCTTGAGTCGCGTCCAGCTGCAACGTCTGGCCGATCTGGGCCACCAGTCGGTCCACCTCGCCCGAGCCGCCCAGAGTCACCGACTGCTCCAGCAGGAGGAAGCTGTCGTCGTCCTCCTCCTCCCCCTCCGCTTCCTCGCCGGCTTCCTCTTCCTCCTCCCTCCGGCACGGCATGGCCCCCTCCCGGGCACCCGAAGCTCTGCGGGCGTCGCGGTGGCTCGGCTGCCCGCGGGTTTGGCGGGCCGCGGCACCGGCAGGCGCGGGGCGCCGGGCGGAGGCTGAAGCTGATGCCGGGGACGGGGGGATGCGGAAGCCGGGTCGGCGGGGTTGTAGCGCCGTGCGCAAGCAGCCGGGGAGCCGGAATCCTGCCGGCTCGGGTTGATTTGTAAACAATGGATGACGTATGCGGACCCTACCATTGTGCCTAGCCGGGGGTGATGCGCGAGGAGACGCCAGAGCGCGGGACTCCGGGGAAGGGCAGGGCCGCAGCCAGAGCCTTCTCAGGTGTGTGATGGCTATCTGTCTGTGAGGGGCTCCTGGGCGTGGTAGCCACGTTCGTCCTGAGCGGCTCCCCCAGCACTATGAAAAGATACGCACTCCGGGCAGCCACAGTTGGTTTCTCCCACTCACAGACACACCCACTCACACACCCAACCCCTCCTCCGCCGCGCCTGTTCCCTCCCCACGTGTCAGCACCGCTTGGGCCCGCCCTGTGTTCTGCCCAGCACTCTGCAGTCACCCACCCCTGCGCTGAGGACGTCAGGCCACACCGGCCAGCCTGCAATATGGAAGTGGGAGCAGGGAAGGGAGGAGGGAATCGCGAGTGAAGAAGGCACACTTTTAAGGAAGGTGGAATGGGTCGTATCTGGTATGAGAGAGTTTCCATTTCCTCTGACTAATCTAAGTTCCATTTCTTGGCAGAAGCCTTGCCCCTTTCCACTTCACCACCCATTCCCGCCTAGCGACAACCAGGCCATTGACAATGCAATACGTCAACCTGCCCGCCTTATTCCCGCCAATAGCAGGATCCCACGAAGGGAGCGTTGCCCCTTTGAATTCTGAGGCCTGATCAGTTCGTGCCAGTCCTCGAACGAACCTATGGTTGCATGGCTGCTGTCCCCATTTGAGCGGGCCGGCAGCCATCTCCAATAAGTCTCTTGGTTGAACCTCAGTTTCCAGTGTGATGGATCTGCTTTCATTGTGCCTTGACTCAGATGGGGCTGCCCTGCCTTTAAGCGGGACCCCTATCCCGCCGGAGATCACCACCTGAGCGGAGAGCACCTTCTTCACATCCACAATCGGCCTACAAATGGGTGAGTCTCCCTCTTCGGACTCCTAAAACCCGCGAGGCTCGGTAACAGGGAACTGGCCGGAGATTGTCAGGCAGTCCTTGTGTTGTTTTGTGGGGAGGAATACACCCCACCCAGAGCTTCACAGTTGCAGTGGTCCTCTTGGAGTCATTCCCCTTCCTTACCAGCCTCGGCCACCTTGAGAACTGGTAAACCCCCTCCCCTCCTCGAACTTGGGTCTCCTTCTTCCCTTCTCTAGTTCCAAAAAGCCTGGCTCCAGGTAACCCATAGCTCCCACCGCCCTCTGGGTTCTCTCACTGGCAGATACCGATAACTCCCGAATCCTTGGCCTGAGGTCCTGTTTTAATATTTGGCTCAAATGGGACACCTCTCCAGTCAACATTTCATACCCCTCCTCATTGCACCATGGGGGGTGCCTCCTCCCTGCCGGCAGACTCCCCTCTCAAATGCCTCCTCAACAATTTGGACACCCTCAGCCTGACCCGAGATATCAAGCCCAAAAATTTGATAAAATTTTCAACTCAGGACTGGCCCAATTATCCCTTAGATAACCAAAGCCAATTGGCCCCCTTATGGGTCCTTAGACCCCTGCCATTTTGTAGAATCTCTACAACTATTGGGAGCAATCGAGAAAAAGGGTAGAGATTTCATATATTCAAGCTTTCTCTCTCCTTCACTTGACTCCATCTCTCTGTACCTCTTGCAACCCAAAGCATGTATTTTTGGCTTATAACCGCCCCCCCCCCTTTCTGCCTCCTCACCAACTGATTTCCATCCAGCCAATGAGCCACCACCATATTGGCACCCAAATCCCCCTTCTCTTCCCTTGCTCACACCATCCCCGCCCCTTTGGCTCCTTCACGTTCTTCTCTGGGCCCTGTCTCACTTCCTCCTTCAGTCCTTCCACTCCCCATTCCCGTGCACAGTCTGTCCAGTCACACCCTACTTCAATCATGGCTCCTTTTAGAGAGGTTGCTGGGGCCAAAGGGATCCTTAGGGTCCACGTCCCTTTCTCCATAGCAGACCTTTCACAGATTGAAAAACACTTGGGTTCCTACACCTCCAACTCTGCCTCATACATAAAGGAGTTTCAGTACTTACATCAAGCCTACTTTTCATGACATTTACATGATCCTGGCCAGTATCCTTCTCCCAGAAGAACGCAGACAGGTCTGGGAACAAGCCCGTAACAATGCTGATGAGATCCATCAAACCGCCTCCGTCCACCTGCTAGGTGCCCAGGCAGTTCCTGACCAGGATCCTAATTGGGACTACAATACCACTGCAGGATTGGCCCTGAGGGACCAATTTTCCACCAACAGGACTCAAGACAGGCAGCTCAAAAGGCGGTAAACTTTGAAAAACTCAAGAAATCATTTAGGATAAAAACAAGAACCCTTCCACCTTCCTAGATAGACCGAGTAAGGCTCTCCAGCAATATACTAATTTAGACCCTGAAACCCTTTGTGAGAGACAGCTTCTAATGACCTACTTCTTCTCTCAGAGTTACCCCAACATTAGGGCAAAACTTAAAAAACTGGAATGGGGACCCGTCAGACTCCTTGACCCCTCAGACTGAAGTCCTGGCCACAGCCTTTAAGGTATACCATAACTGGGATGAGAAGGCCAGGAAACAAAAACCCAGGTGCTGGCACAGGCTCTATGGGGACCTACCCCCACGGACCCCTTTGTTTCTGGCCAAATGCCCACCACCAAAGATGCCTCTTGGGCCCTGCTTTAAGTGCGGGACAAAAGGACACTGGGCATGAGAGTGCCCTAATCCCAGGTTTCTTAGGTGTCCATGCCCTAAATGCCAATTAGGGGGTCACTGGGCCATGGACTGCGCCAGCCCCCAAAGGGGAGCTGTGTTTGCCCCAAGCCCAGGCCTGGATCTTTTAGGACTGGCCACAGATGACTGAATGGGCCTTGGGACTCCTTCCCCGATGACCACTATCACCTCTCAGGAGCCCAGGGTCACTATTAAGGTGGATGGATGCCCAGTTAACTTCCTTTTAGACACAGGGGCCACTTATTCAGAGTGGGGACCCACTCTTCCATGCTGTTCCCCCATTGTCGGGGTAAGTGAACAAACCATCCTTTCCCACAAAACCCTCACACTGTCTTGTAGGTTCCACCATCCTTTCTTTCACCAATTTTTGGTAATGCCCCAATGCCCCATTCCCCTTTTGAGAAGGGACATCTTAGCCAAATTCCATGCCTCCCTCACACTCCATCTCAGCTTTTCTTTGTACTCACCCTTGCAGAAGCAACCCACACATCCACAGGCTCCCCTCCTTCTCCCTCTCCTGAGATTAAACCCTCAAATTTAGGACACTTCCACCCCCTCTCTGGCTCAATGTGTCCCTGTCAGAATTCGTCTTAAGGACTCTCAGCATTTCTCTTGTCAACCTCAGTACCCTCTTCCAACTAGCAGTTTTCAGGGCCTACAGCCCATTATTAAGGACCTATGGCGCAAGGGCTTAATAAGACCAACCCACTCCCCTTTCAACACTCCTATTTTGGCTGTAAAGAAACCTAATGGATGGTACCACCTTGTACAAGACCTTCGAATCATTAATGAGGAGGTCAGACTCATTTACCCTCTGGTGCCAAATCTCTACACTATCTTCTCTTCCATTCCTTGCTTCTCTTTCCATTTCTCAGTTGTTGACCTGAAGGATGCTTTCTTCACTGTTCCCCTTGCTCAGGATTCTCAGGACATCTTTGCCTTCATTTGGACCGACCCTAAGACACATCATTCCTAGCAGCTTACCTGGATGGTCCTCCCTCAAACCTCCAGAGATAGTCCACATATCTTTGGCCAAGCCCTGGCACAAGACCTTCAGGGTCTTACTCTTCCCCGTTCCACCCTTTTGCAGTATGTGGATGATTCACTCTCTGTAGTCCTTTCCGACCTATCTCCAAGAGTGACACTGTCTCCCTCCTTAATTTCCTCACCAGGGGCTGGGATTGTGGCTCAGTGGTAGAGCGCTTGCCTAGCATGCAGGAGGCACTGGGTTCGATTCTCAGCACCATACACAAATAAATAAAATAAAGGTCCATCAACAACTTAAAAAAAATTCCCCTCCAAGAAGGGCTACCGGGGTCTCTCCTGAAAAGGTCCAGCTCTCACTATCAGCAATTACCTACTTAGGAGTCCAGGTGTCTCAGGGAAAAAAGGCCATCACCCTGGACCAGAAACAGTTGATTCCAAATTTGCCCATCCCACTCACCAAAGAAGATATTCTCTCTTTCCTGGGGCTGGCGGGATACTTCCAAGCCTGGAATCCTCAATTTTTCCCTTTTAGCTGCCCCAGTGTACGATACAGCAAGGGGAAAATCATTGGCGACCACTCCTAATGCCATCCCAGCTCCATTCCATAAACTTTGGTAGGTCCTCCTCAAGGCCCCCACGCTCACTTACCTGACATGCATAGATTCTTTGTTCTGTATGTCCTAGGGGTGCTAGGCCAACAGCAGGGACCAACATTTGCTCTAGTAGCCTATCTATCCAAACAACTGGACCCTACCGTCCGGGGATGGACCTCCCTGTCTCATAGCTGTGGCAGCCACCTATGATTTGGAGTGTCAGATGGGGGAGGGGTTCAGGATAAGGCCCGCCACCATGTTGCATCCCACCAGAAAGCTCTTAAATCTGTCAGATGGGAGTCCTTACCGAAGGACACCCTTCTAATCCAGATCATTAACACCACTCATCATCTGAGGCACTGGTTACCCCACTGACTAACCCCACATTGGCTCAGGGATGCTGACTGTGCCTCAAGGCAGGATTCTTTCACTAGTTGCCAGCCCAATACAACTAAACTCCTCATCTCCTCATCGGTCAATGGCTCACTGATCCTCAATGAAACTACTTCCACAACAGTTGACATCTCCCAAAAACTTTCAGGGGTTCCCCTTTATCAGGTTGCCGACACATGTCTCAACTCTTCCGGGAACACGTCTGTCAGGAACTTACAAGATGAACAGTGTGCTCAAATAATTACCCATAAAGTATCTTCCAAGCCCTCTTGTCCACCGACCCCTGAGGCATCCTTCTTATGCGGGACATCTGTGTACCATGCTTGCCCCTAAGATGGAGCAGCACATGCACACTAACCCTTTTATTCCCATCCATAGATGTTGTCTCAGGAGACAAGGATATTCCCATCCCCCTCATGGCTCACATAAACCCCTTACTGGCTATTCTGGAAATAACAGCAGGACTGGCTACAGGCACAGCAGGGATAACAACGTCCCTTACCTACTACCACCAGCTGTCTAGCCAAATCTATCTTAACTCTCCAAAGTCAGCTAGGTTCTTACAAAACCACCGCAGCTTAGACTTGCTTACAGTGGAGAAGGGAGGACTTTGCCTATATCATTTCAGGAAGAATGCTGTTTTATGTTAATCAGTCAGGAATGGTAAAAAATAAGATAAAAAACTACAAGAGCAATTAGAGAAAAGGAAACAACAGATGGCCCAGTCCTCTCTATGGAATATGTCTCCAGGTTCTGTTATCGGTTGGGTCCTCCCATTACTTGGCCCTCTAATTGGGATTTTTTGTTTGTTTGTTTTGTGCCTTTCTAGCCTGTATCATAAAATTCCTACAAAATCAAATAGGCAGAATATCTAATCAGACCTTTAACCAGCTTCTCCGGGATTACCAGCTACTTGCTGCCTCAGAAGACACCTATTCCTCATGTGAAGGCCTCACCAACTGCTGACGGAACTCTATCACTTTGAATATGGAGCTACAAAATGGAAACACGACTGGAGGAACTTCATTAGCCTGTCACCCAGGATTTCTAGGCCCATTCGCCCTCGGTTGCCTCCTCCTGACCGCTGGCCTTTTCTCAGCCAATCCCTCTGCTGGACCTCCTGCCAGAAGCTAATGTTGTGTCTCCTCTTTCTTCTCCTTCTCGTTGCCTTCGGGTGTCTTCGGTGTCTTTAGGCTCATCATGTGGCTCACCTGGTTTGTGGAGTTCGTGGAGACCCTCCGACAGGACAGCTGGCTGATTCCCCCATTTGCAGTGACGAGGATTGGATGGAGACTCTCCATGATCTGTGGCTTCAGGGAACTTTCATGGATTTCAGCCCAGAGGAAATTTATGGCTTCGGTGCCTGGGTCTTCACGATGATGCTTCTTCTCTGTCCGTTTTCAGACATCCCTCCCCTTCTTTTCCCACATCTTACCACCTCAGCAGGAAGTAGCCAGACTAAGTCAGCGCCCCCATCCCCAATTTAAAGCAAAATAGGGAGGAATGTTAGGTACGAGGGAGTTTCCATTTCCCAGCAGAAGCCTTGCCCCTTCACGCTCCACCACCCATTCCCGCCTAGTGACAACCAGGCCATTAACAACACAGTATGTCACCCTCCCCACCTTCCACCCACCAAAAGCGTTGCCCCTTTGAATTCTCAGGCCTGATCAGCTTGTGCCCGTTCTCTAACGGACCTACCTCACCCAGTGCTGATGGGTGCGCGGCTGCTGTCCCCACTCGAGCAGGTGGGCAGCCATTTCATTGCTTCCAATAAATCTCATGGTTGAACCTCTATTTCCAGTGTGATGGATCTGCTTTCAGGTCGGAGGTGGGGGTCACAGATACTTCCCCATCCCCAATCATTGAAACCTCCCAGGCACAAAGCGAGACAAGGAATGACTACCGCTTGCTTGCCTGGAGAGTTGCTTGTGTTTTTGTTTTGTTTTGTTTTTAAGGTTCTGAAGTGGCACCCCCTTTCTCCACAGAAAAGTCATAACTGGGCTTCTCCAGAAATCTTCACCATGGCTGATTTTAGGACTGTTAGCAAGAGTCTCTACAAGAGTTCAATGTAGATAAGCTTCCAATTTTCATGTTGCCCTGTTTTACTTGGCCACTGGCCAGGAAGAAACCAGCACTTCAGGTGCTGGACACCCCCTTACTAGTTTCTCACAAACATGTATCCAGTACAGTAGTTTGTAGAAATGTGTAAACCAGGCCTCTGGCCTTGAGCTGGGCTTCACAGAGATGTCTACATTTCTAAGATAAGAGAAGGTACCAATTGGGCTCCATGGTAACAGCTGGCAGGGGGAGGAAAGAAAGGGGAGAAGAAGCTCTCCCCTTCTCAGGTGCTGTCCTTGAAGGGTTAACTTGCCCAGAACAGTGAAAGAAAAAGCTGCTTTTATGTGAACTTCTGAGCCCCTCCCCTTACATGCTGGGTATAAAATTCCCTAAACTCCAGGTTCAGGGGATTGATTGATTACAGCAAAAGCTGTGCCCTCTGAACCTGGCTGCAGCCAAGTAAGACTGTTTCCTGCTATCTTCAGTGCCTTGCCTCGATTGTCCCTACAACAATTCAAATAGAAATATAGGGACTGTGGACATTTTCTCAATTATAGGACTCAAATCATGGTTGAACAATTTTTTCCCTTAGGTTTCTTTTTTCTTCAGGATTTTTTTCTATAAAGATATATTTTACAAACAACCATGCGTACAATGTTATATACTTTTTTTAAACTTTGTATTGCAACCAGAAGCCTTTTTTCATGTTATTCATGCACTTTGAAAACATTTTAGTGATTACGGAAATTTCCACTAAATATATGTCATTGTTTAAATTCCTTTAACGTTTGCTGTTTCCCTAATTTCCCTGTTGTAAATGAGTGTGACTTAACATTTTTGTCCATCAAACTTTTCCATATTTATATTTCTTTCCTTAGAGCGTAGCGTGTTCCCAGTAGAATTTTAGGTCAAAGGATATGGATATTATTTTAATGTTTTGATAAATACATGAAATAACTTTCTGAGATTTGGGTAAATGTCCTCCCCTATCATTGTGCTAGTGTACTTTATTTATTGTACCTTCACCAACATTTAATTGTTACTGAAATTTTTTTTTGCTGATTTCATAGATGGAATTGGTATCTTCTGTCAGTTTACAATTTTTTATTTTAGTTAGAGCAGTTTTCTAAATGTTTGTTAACCAACTGTACTTCCTTTTTGTAAATCGTTCCTAATAAGTTTTTCCTAGAGTTTTTCTATGTCTGTGTACCAGAGGTTAACCCTTTGCTTTCACTTTTTACTACAAATATTTCTTCAGGGCTTTTTTGTTGTTGCTGTTGTTGACTCTCTACAATTTTTTTTTACCAGTTAAACAGAACATTTTAATGTAGTCAGATCTATAAAATTCTTTCCTTTGAGACTTCTAACATGATGCTAAATTTAGAGTCTCCTTGCCTTCAGAAAGTTGTTAAATATTCAGTTCTATTTTCTTTAGATTTTTCTAATGCCTGGATTTTTTCCCCAAAATCCATCTGGGATTAATTTTGGTCTTTAGTGCAGAGAGATGTCATGAAATTAATTTTTTTTCCTCCCAGAGAGCCTGCCAACCAGGGCAGAGGTGTGTGGGCAGTGTACACAGCCACTCCTGTCCTTTAGTTCCCAGTTGCTGGTTAAACTGGTGGTTGTGAGGACTGGGTGGGGATGGGAATATTTTGACCAGTCTCTTGTGTGGAGTCAAAAGAACCCAGAACAGGTTACACAAAGACCTAGAATCAAGTCTCATTCCTGCTACATCCTGGGTGTGGGACTCTTGGCAAATCAGTTTACAAGTGTTTTCACTTGTAAAATGGAAAAAATAATCCCTGCCCTGCCTCCCTCTGAGGATTGTTTTCAGGATCAAATGAGATAATGGGAACAGGCTTTGTCAGGCATTACACAAATGTACTGAGGGATTAGGTCCAGTGGTTTACTAACAGAGGCCTGGCTCCATTCCAGCGATTTCCCCAAGGAAACAGCTAATATATTAATGATGAGATTCCCCCCAGCAGTCCACTAAGTAAAGTATACCCTGGAGGCATTCTTCCTTGAACTGGTGGGGTCCCTTAAATTCTGCCTCAGTCCACCCTGAGCTGGAATTGTCTAGGGCCTTCCTGAAGGCAGTCCAGGGTCTCCCAAGGTGTGTCACCACAACTAGTTCTACAGGTTTCAGTGATGAAACCTTTCCCAGCAGGCAGCTCCCACCTCCGCTTCTGTTGGAGTTCTTCACACACTTTACTGATGAGGGTGGGAAGTCTTTCGCCCCAGAGAGAGAGAGAGCGTTTCATTTTCATTCTGATGGTACTCATTGGAGAATTTCAAGGGGAATGGAAATTAGGGGAGGGCTTATGGATTTCAGTAGAGTTAAAATGGCAATTTTTCCCCCTCCTCTCCGTAAGATGATGCCTGACTGTAAGTAGAGAAAAGCAGTTTTATGCTCCATTGACTTTAAACATTAATGGGTCTGGCGAAGCTATTGTCTCTAACCCAGCATCCCTGGAAGTTGTTTTGTCTTCCTGTCAGGATAATTCCAATAGTGTTCTTACTACTATAGGAAATGGAGCTTTGAAATGGCATTCCTTAAAAAAAAAAAAAATTAAAAAAGAAAACTAAAAAAAAAACCTTCCCTTTGTAATGTTGCTTTTGTGTGCAGATTGCTATGTAAATATGCCTAGACATGGATATTACACTGTTCATTATAGAGATGAATGCATTACAGGAGGCCGCTCCATTTTCTGGAGGCACTCCTCTGGAGAGCTCTGAGAGGGAAGTGCTATGCTGGACCAGTGGGAGGTGAAGAAATGCCCTGGATTAAGAAGCAAAATATAAGATGCCAAAGTCTCCAATGCAATTAAAAGTAATGAGAAGGTATCAAAGGGGAAGCAATGAGAGCTTGTGTGCCTGGCCCACTGGCTGACTGCCTGGAAAGAGACACTGAGAGCATTCAGAAACACTGGGGAAGAACACAGGATTCAAGGGGTTCCTGCATTCAGGCAGACTGCTCTGAAATCCCCCCCAGAGAGTTGTTTGCCATGAGGACCTTGTTTTAAATTATCTGAGACACCAGCAAGGGTAACATGGGATGGACAGTAGGCTTGAAATCCCGTCTAAATGTGGTCACTTCGTCCTTCTTTTCCTCTGGTTCCTAATCTGTAAAATGGGGGATACTGTGTTCTGGAAGACTTACCATGTGGACCTTGTGGGTGGTGCTGGAGTTGAGTTAGACTCTTGGGAACAGAAACAATTTTAGGCATGTTTAAATTCAGAAGGGGCAAATTCTATGCTCTAGTCCATTAGTGGATGAGTAGATAAACAAATTGTGGTTATAGTTATACAGTTGGATTTTATTTAACCTAAAAAAAAAAAGAAGAAGAAGAAGAAGTACTGACACATATTACAACATTCTCCTCCAAAACATTATGCTAAGTGAAAGAAAAGAGACATGAAAGGTCACATTGTAGGATTCCAGTTACACAAAATATCTTGAGATAAATAAGATAAAAAGCAGATGTTTTTTAGGGCTGGGCCAGGGGAGGTATTGAGGCAGGGGAGTGACTGCTAATTGGGTGAGGGGTTTGCTTTTGGGGTGATGAAAAGTTTTTTCGGAACTTGATGGAGCTGGTGGTGCACTAAATGTCATTGAGTTGAACATTTTTAAAATGGTTAATTTTTTTTCCCCAGAGATAGGGATCAAACCCAGGGCCTCACATATGCTAGACAAGTGACCTACCACTGAACTACATCTCCAACATGGTTAGTTTTAGATTATGTAACTTTTACCTCAATGAAAAAAATTATATGATTTTTTTTTCCTTTTTTTTTTTTTCTTTCTTTTTTTCTTGTGCTAGGGATTGAATCCCGGGTCTTGTGCATGCAAGGCAAGCACTCTACCAACTGAGCTATATCCCCAGCCCTCGTATTTGTTATTTGATCCATTCTTTGTGATTAGAACCACAGTTTATTTGCTGATATGAAATAATCACATTTTCACCATGTTTCCAATGCAGGGCTGATCTTTTTCAACTTTGAGGTCACATTAAAAATAACACATTAATCAGGCATTTTGGTACAAAACCTGAAATCCCAGCAACCAGGGAAGCTGAGGTAATACGATCCAAGATCAAGGCCAGCTTCAGCAACTTAGCGAGACCCTGCTCAAAATAATATAAAAAGGACTGGGAATGTAGCTCAGTGATAAAGTGCCCCTCAATTCAATCCCCAGAATTGAAAAAAAAAAAAAAGTTTCCACTGCCTGATTCTCTCACTCTGGTCTCCAGTTACTCTTTTTTTTTTTTTCTGACCAAGGTGAACTGGGGCATCATTTTTCCTCAGCAAAGAAGTGAATGGCAGTCCAGAGGCAGCCAGGGAACCACAGTGGGTCTGATGATGATCTTAAGTAATCCTTCTCATCCCAAAGCTTTCTTTGGGTCACCCGCCTCTCTCCCTTGTGCTAAAGATGCAGGCTGGAAAAGAGGATAAAATGCCATGCATAATGAGTTAGGAAATAGTTCTGGAGAAAGTGACCCAGTTGCCAGGCACGATGGTGCACACCTGTAATCCCAGTTGCTGAGGAGGCTGAGGCAGGAGGATCATGAGTTCAAAGCCAGCCTCAGCAAAAATGAAGCACTAAGAACTCAGTGAGACCCTGTTTCTAAATAAAATACAAAATAGGGCTGGGGATATGGCTCAGCAGTTGAGTGCCCTGAGTTCAATCCCTGGTATCCAAAAATAAAAAAAGAAAGTGACCCATCTGGCACCTC